AAGCTTCAGGACATTGACACAAAGTGACTACTCAAGAGGGATACAAGGGGAGGGAAGATTCCAGTAATTGTTTGGTTGTTCATTATTGTACAAATTTCATTCTGCATGCACTTCCGCAAGTGATTTTATTTTTATTTGTTGATTAGTTAGTTGTGACGGACTTTGCTAACAACTAACAAACTGCCACAGATAGAGTAGCAAACATTCTTGGATGTACTGCAATCTGTTTCAGACTAGTCAAAAGTAGGAATAAAATTGTTTGTAGGAATCCGAGATTATTTGTTGTTACTGCTTGGCTACTTTCTGACAAAGCTGGACCGGACCGAATATGGTTGGGTAGGGGCACATTGCAGAGGGCTAGGGCAGCAGCAGCCGACACTGAGAGGGCGCTAGCAGCAGCCACAGCAGCAGAAGCTAGAACCAGCAACAGAGGGTATCCATGACTACCGTCTCTGCTATTTCACAGCCCTCTTCTCAGGCCACTTCCTCAGGTACAGTTCGGGTACGCCAGGATCTTCCACTGGTCAATCTGCTGGCTTGTAGGTTAGTCGGCAACAATAACTGTCACCGGAGGACTATGAGATCCAAGAAGCGGAAGCTCTCCGCAATGAGCTACAAGGCCAGTTGCAGGATGTAGAGGAGAGAAAAAATAGAGCTAGAATTAGGAAAGCTAGACTAGGGGCAAGGATGCAGGAACTAAGCAGACTAAAGGCTGTAGATGAGTCAACACTTGACCTTGTCGTCAGGATCCTTCGGAACTCCTTGTTGAGTGTGGCCGAAGCACAGGCCTCCATTAGGAACTGTTGGCTGAACTAGTAGCCAGCCAAAACAAGATTCTGGTTGCGGTGCAGGCGCCTCGACTGACGGTGAGGCCACCGCATGTCACTGTAGCTCCCCCTACGGTTGCAGGTCCTTTGTTGACGCTGCCGCTGGTGGGACAATCCTTTTCCCCAAAGTATGGCATACCCCCACCAGGTGGTTTAGCAGCAGGTAGCAGAGGGCAGATTCCGGTACCTTCTTCACTTCCCCATTCACCGGCTGCTGCTACAGGGTAGCCTCACGTCCAACAGTGCAATAGCAAGTGCCGCCGCAGCGACCTGTTCCACCTGTTTCTCAACCAATGCAGCAGGCGCAGGCTGTTGTATAGTCCATGCAGTGGACACCTAAGGTACCCTTGCTGAGACCTAAATCCTTCTTTGGCAACAAGGAGAAGGAAAAGGACCTTGATACATGGGTGAGGACTGTGCCTACGTATGTAAGGCACAAACTCACAAAAACCGAGGAAGAGGTTATTGTCACTGCATCCTTTCTAGAAGGATTTGCAGCCAGATGGTTGAATGGTGTAGTACAACAGCATGGGTACGGTCAGAAATTCGATGGTTGGGCACAGTCCCGGACATTGAAGGAGTTTGCACAGGTTATCTACAATAGGTGGCATGACCCTCAAGGGGCTCAGAAGGCCATTGACTCGCTAACCAGTCTGGGATCAAAGAGATGTCGGACAGTTCACGAGGTGACAAATGTTGTAGAGCGACTGCTTGTTGTTCCTGGCATGCAGCACAATCCGCAAGTACTCCTCACAACTTATTTACGATGTCTGCCCACAAATGTCAAAAATAAGTTGGTCGATGAGGTCTCCATAGATGTGCATAACTTTGCCTCGTTCAACAAGAAAGTCGTAGACATATAGGCTAAGCTTGGGAGTGCCCAGTAGGGACCGGTATATGGAAAAAAGAAGAAGCTTCCTCAAGATTGGTGGAAGAAGGGCAATCTCATGTTCATTCACGATGACGGCCAGGTGATTGAGATTGACGACTTCCCTGACCTTGGGGAAGAGACATAGGTAGATGGGAGTGGGGAGAGTTCAGAGGGTGGAGTAGCCCTGCCCATTAGAGAAAAGGCTAAGGGGGCCGAGAAACAGAAGGTAGGTCGGCCCAAGGATCAAAGTGACGAAGGACCATCCATATGGGTGAAGCTTGGTTTGGAGTACGAGGTGTGGCGAGACTGTGTTGTGCGAGGCGCTCGTCTCAATTGTGGCCAGTATGGGCACGCAACGAGTAAGTGCAAGAGTTAGCGGGTAGTTGGGAAGGTTACGTCCTAGATAGTGACGGTAGGATCTTCCAACTCTAGTGGAGCTTCGGCGAGCACTTCCTAGGGAAACACCTCGGGCTAGTAGGAGTGTTAGCTTCTCTTACTCGTGTTGAAGTGGTTACCTCTCCATTTCAGACGATGGCCAAAGCTATTGACCCCTTGATCGCCCCGCAGACAAATCCGGACCAATCGATGCTCTGTTTGGTGGATGTTTCCGAGTCCTTAAAGGAGTTAGAGACCGAGTTGTTAGAGAAAGACCCTAGAAACTCGTGGGCGATGTTGAATAAAGGTCCTAAGGGTGAACATTTCGTGGTAGAAGTCGATGTAAGTGATCGAAAGGTTGGTGCCTTCACAGGCATAGGTTCTACGCGGAATTTCATCGGTCGTGCTTGTGTGGATAGGTTGCGCTTAGGGGACCACATGCAACGACTTAGCAGATTTGTAGCATCTACCTTAGCCAACAAGCACTCCATGATAGTGAAGGACTATGTCAAGGACGTAGTCTGTACCTTCTCCTATGGAGGAGGGGAACTGAGACATAAGATTCCTAGTGAGCGACGGGCTGCCATTCGACATATTGCTAGGCACGTACTACCCGGAGGTTGCTAAGCCTCTGTTCCATTGGGATAGGAAGATGATGATCCATAAGTTACCAAATGGTAGGACCGTTAGGCCACAAAAGTTCAAGGCTAGCAGACTAGTGGAGAACTATGGTTGCATGTGCGCGTCGTCTTTCTGTAACTACTACAAGCAGAATTGCGAGGAAGGTATGTACCTAGTCTTTGTCTCTGAGAAAGGGGAGGCCGTAAAATCACCCCCAGAGATAGAAGTAGTTGCAGTATTCAAACCTCTTTGAGGAACCTAGGGGTGTGATAGAAAAAGAGATTGTCCACGCGATTGAAGTCGTCCCCAGTAGCAAAGTACCTAGGGTGTGATGGGGCTGAGGCAACGAGGATGGGAGAGAGAGGGAGAGAGTGAGAGCACACACACACACTCACTCAACTCGACGCAGACTCAACACGACTCGACGGACGCATACACGAAGTGGCAAAGTCGCAAAGTCGAAGTCTTGGATTTCCGAACACAATGTCGAAGCAAGTCACCGAAGCACAAGTACAGCAGCAGAAAACTGGTACGAGACTGGTCCCCATACCTTACGGGGAGCTGGTATAAGTACCGGTGACACGTACGGTACCAGGGGCATTTCTGCAAAAGCCCCGAGGGCAGAACTGAAAAATGTGGTATTTGAAAGTGGCACTCGAATTGCAGCATGGCGCCAGTTGTCCAAAATCCTACGGTACCAAAGGAGGGGTTTGGAAAAAGGGTGCCAGACCGAAACGGGATGTAGCCGAAACAACAAAAGGATAGACCAGGGATCGAGCCCTGGCGGAGTCCGTAACATTATCCCCTCTCTCTAGAAGGCAACGTCCCGGCTGCCAAAAATCATGAAGCAATGCTGAAATCTGTGAAGGACGGGACGGGGCCGATCACTGGTTAACAAGTCGAAAGGGAAGAGGGGTATAATGTGGGTGGCATGGGTTGCGGGAGTAAGAGGGAACAGGGTTTGGTATCGGTGAACAGGGTTGTCCTACTGATGAACAAGGGGGGGGTGCAGGGAACAGGGTAGTCCTACAAATGAACTGAAGGGACGACCGGGAGCAGGGTAGTCCTGCTGATGGACTAAGGGGACTGCATGGTTTGCTATAGGTCAAGGGGGAACAGAGTTCAGGGCACAGGGAACTTCTATTGATGTTCTACTGGGTAAGGGAAACGGTATTCAGGACAACAAGGTATTTCTATTGATGTTCTAGGGGGTAAGGGAAACAATGGTCAGGGGGAACAGGGAATGCCTATTGATGTTCTAGTGGGTATGGGGAACAATGGTTAGGGAAACAGGGATCTGCTAATGATGTGCTTAGGTTGTCAAAAAAAAATGAAAATGTTTGTTCAGGATGCAAGGGCTGGTTGTGTCCGAAGAAGCAACATCTCATGTGGGAACAAAGTGTCCGAGTGTCTTGAAAGGAGGTCTGTAATGGTCTTGATCGGGTTTTGGAGTAGGTGGTGGAAGCGGTCTTCAGTGGCTGCAATGGGTAGAAGTCCAAGAAGCGTAGCAGTACTCCAGATGTCCAAAGTCCGAGTGCTAGGGAGTGTCCGGTACGTGAACTGCAATGAGATCTGATCTGGAAGCAGGTAAGTCGCAGACTGATGCAAGTATCCATGTCGCAAGTTGCTGCTCCATTAAGTCTGCGAGTCGGGATGCTGGCCAATGAAACAACATGGTGGCCAAACCAGCTGCATAATCTCCATGAACAGTGAGGCAGCAGGCCATCGTCCTCGTGCGCTTGCCATTAGATCCTTTATCGCCGACGTCACGCAGGTCCACAAGCATTGGACAAGAGAGACAAGGTAGTGGAGAGGACAGGTGGGACAAGGCTAGGCGAAGGTAAGGGCAGATCAGACATCAAGAATCAGGGTCAAGGGGAGGGTGGCTGGGTTCAAGGGTGTGTGTAGAGCAGGGTTGCGAGGTTGTAGCAGGGTTTATAGGGGTTTGGGGTTGAGAGTAGAAGAGCAGGTGCCACTGGGATGCTCAACCGATGGGATAGCAGACGTCGTCGGGAGGGGGGCAGGCAGAGTAGACTCCGTCGCCCGGGGGTCGTTCGATGGGATGTGTGTCACCGGACGGGGGGTAGGCAGACAGATAGTTGATGCCAAGTGAGCCACCGGTGGAGGAGAGATCGTCAGCGATGGGAGAGCCGACAGACAAGTGGTCGATGACTGGGGAGGATTGCAAGAGACAGGGGGATAGTGTTCAGGTGGGGGAGGGCCCGACTGTCGTGGTGGGGGAAGAAGTGGGAGTAGAAGGGCCGGGTCCCGCGGAGCGAGGGGTGGTCGAGTAAAGCGGCTAGGGTTGGGGCAATTGGTCTGTTGATGACCTAACTGGCGGCAGCGAAAACACCCGTTGTGTTCCTGGAGGTATATGCGTTCTGCGGGTGTGAGTTTTTGGAGACGACGGGGTGGAGAGGCAGAATGCGGTCGGGAGGCACGATCCTAGCATTCTGTCCGCATAAGGTGGGTGGTCTGGGGGTCCTCAATGGTGAATTGGGAGGGGTCGAGAGAGGCAGTGTTGAAGACGTCATCAGAGGTGGGTGGAGTGGTGTCGTTATGGAAAAAGCGGGGTTGAGAGGGAGCGGGCGCAGACTGGTGATGGGGGTGGAGGAGTCGATCGTGGTGAAGCATGCGAGAGAGGAGGTCAGCAAGGGGCATGTCGGGGTCGTGGGCGAGGGCGGTTGCAAGGTCTTTGTGGCTACTTGTTTGATGTGGGAGATGAACGCAAAGTCGGGAATGACGGTGGTGGGGAGGTGGTGGCGGAGCGAGCGGACGTATTGGACGAAGCGGTCCGTGGAACCGGTCTGGCGGAGGTGGCAAAATTGTTCAAGGTAGTCATCAATGGTTTTCTGGAGTGGAAGGTGGCAGTGAGAAGGTTGGCCCATTGGAGGAAGGAGTGGCGTGGTCCTCCGGAGGCTCGACGGTTGCTGACTTCAGCCATCCACCATTTGGCGGCATTGCTGAGGAGGCGGGAGGTGGCAATGGGAAACCAGTGGGCAAGGGGCATGTGGTGGAGGTGAAAAGAGTTCTGGAGCTGGGTTAGGAAGAGGAAAACGTCCTCATGGGGGAGGCCGGAGAAGGACATGATGTCGACGGATCGGAAGGAACGGGGGATTTCCCCATCGCGGGGAACGATCCGGGCGAGGGTGTTGAAGTTGAGGTTATCGGGGGTGGTGTCGTAGGAGGTGTAGTCGAGTTGGTTGTTGTCCTCAAGGAGGTAGTTGGGGGGGAGTTGTGGCATTGGGGGGTAAACCCCGGAGGTGACTTGGGAATAGATGGGACGGATGGTGGGGATGGTGGAGGTCGTCATGATGGGTTGGGGAAGGGTACGAGAGTGCTGGGGGGGAAGAGGGGTGACGTGGATGGGCGAGGAATGAGGCGGTGTGTTGGATGCGCCGGATGAGGGAGGAGGTGGGGGGAACGAAATGGTGGTGGAGGTTGARGAGGAAGGGTTGGTGGATGTGGTGGTAGAGGTGGTAGGAGTGGAGAAGGTCGGGGGGAGGGGTGTTGCTAGAGGCGGGTGTGGAGGAGGGAGTGGTTTGCGCTGTGGAGGAGGGAGTGATTTGCGTTGTGGTGGAGGGAGGTGCGGCCGTGGTGACAACCGTGATGGAGGGGTTGTCCCCTTCGAGCGTGGTGACGCGGTCGGATATGGACGACACCGTGGCCCTTATGTCGTCCACGGAGGTTTGGACGGTGTTGAGTGCATGGAGGACGGCGGAAAGGTCGGAGGTGGCGGTGTTGGCTGGTGGTTGTTCGCCTGCGAGGTTGCGGGCGATGCTATCGACCGAGTCGGTGCGGGTGTCAGACATGTTGATGGAGGATGCAGTCATGTCGGGGGAAGAGGGGGTGGGCCGAAGGTCGGGGTCGGGGAATCGCACGGGAAACGTGCGGGGATCGGGGAAGGGCGGAGGAATGGGTCGAGATCAGGGGGGCAGGGGCGGAAGGTGGCACGCAGCGGGGGAGGGAATGTCGGGGGAAGGGGATCCCGGTTGGTGTCGGGGTAAGGACGCAGTTGGGGAGGGAGGTGGGGGAGTCGGGATCGGAGGAGGAAGGTGGGGGAAGT